GGGGTCTCCAGAATGTCCCTTCCGTCCCGGCCGTCGGTCCTGTTTACCTAGCACGTTGCCAGCCGCTTCTGTTGCCTTCCAAATGTCTGCACCGGGGTGGTTTCCTTGCAGGCCATGGGTGAGACAGGCGCTGCTCATGCCTTCAGTGTTTGTGCCTCACAGGGGTTCCAGGAGGAGGACACTGCCTGTGTTGTCTGTAGCTTCCCCCGAATGCTTGACTCGCTGCTTCTCATCCCGTCGGCTGCATCTGAGGTGTCCGGAGCCACAGCGATGCTGTCGCATGAAGGTTCTGACTCTGTGGATGCAGCTGCCAGGGGAGCAGGCGCTGTCTTCGTGGCACTGCTGTCAGTGGGATGCGCTGTCTGGGCCCAGCGCCTGGCCTCATCACCTGGGGTGTTTCACAGTCGTTTGTGGACTCTCCTACGCAAAGACCTCGGTTAACGCTGGTTAGTGCTTAATGCTCAGGATACCCAGGTGTCTGTGGCCAAAGGCAGAGGAGCCCGGGTTCTCTCGCCTGCTCTTTGCATGGTGCATGCAGAGGAATTCAGAGCTGTGGCAGCAGCCAAGAAGGGGACCTGGTGTCGGTGCAGTGTGTGAATGTAGCGGGGCTGCACGCGAGAGGGGGCATCTGAGCAGTGGAGGGGCCCAGGGCCCTCACGTGCACCCCTGGGCACAGACGTCTCTGTCTCTTGGAGGTTTGGGGAGCTGCCCCTGAGCTCCTGCGTTGCTGTAACCGCTGCTCCTGTCTTGGCCGCGCTCGGCAGTGTTCTGGTGTTGAGACACGAGATGCTGTGTGGCTGAAGCAGCTGAAAGGCTGTGATGGTGCTGGCCTGGGCTTTGGCTCGCTGCGCGTCCGTCAGCGTGGTGCTGAGCTCTGGAACAGGCCGGGGTGGATTTCACCTCAGTGCTGCTCCCTGCCAGTCTCGCTGCCGGGCGTGTTTCGGCAGCCAGCTCTGCAGAAGCAGAGGTTTGGGGCACAGCTCATGGTGGGACATTGAGATGACGAACCTGGGCTGCTGACTGTGTGTCCCAAACACAGGAGGGGGCACCTGTGCCCCGGCTCAGCAGTGCTGGAGTCACCAACGCGTCCTCGCTGGGCCGGGCCGTGTCGCTCAGCGCCTGCGGTGGCGGTCGAGGCTCTCCTGAGATCAGGGGCATGAGACAGGCTCTGCTGCAGGCAGAAAGGCTGAGTGAGCCCGCGGAGAAGGCTTCTGCTTGGGCTTACAGGGAAAGGAGATAAAGCTCAAGACACAGTGAAGCGAGGTGGTTATCCAGGCTTTTCTATGGGCAGAGATGTGACAGGCTTCCCAGAGAAATGTACTGTTTTCCTGCTGCTATTGCGAAGGGGAGGAGCCGTGGGGGTCTCGGTGGCCTTGGTGTCACCGCTCGCGCGGTGGCAGGAGTCTGTAGGCTGCAATAAC